GGGGGGGGAGGGGGAGTTGTGGGTCGCGGGGGGGGGGGAGGTGTCCCCCGTGTGTCCCCCCCCCACCCCGTCCCCGCTGTCCCGTCAGTGGGTGTCGTTCTTGATGACGATCTCGACGCCGTGCTGGCGGAGCTGCGCCCGCAGGATCAGGTTCTTGTTCTTGAGGTCCTCGACCTGGCACCGGGATGGGGGTACCCATGGGAAAGGGGGGGTCAGGACAAGCATGGACCCACCCCCCCACGTTGGGTATAGGGAACCTAAATCCCTACCCCACACCATTCCTCACCTGCTGCCGCAAGACCTCGTTGTCCATCTGGAGCTGGTCGAGGCCCTGCAGCTCCTCGGAGAGGCGGTGGTTGCTCTGCCGCAGCTCCTGGATGTAGTCGCAGGCTTTGGACAGGATCCCCCCCTTGCTCTGGGGATTGGGATACATAGGGGTGAATTAGGGGGGAGGGGGGGGGGGGGCACCGGTACCCCATAGAGCCCCACTGTGCCTCCGTGGAGGGAAGGGGGGGTCCGGACCTGCCCTGACTTGGTGTTCTCCATGGAGCAATCGGGGATGATCTTGGAGAGCTGCACGATCCAGTTGTTGATCTTGTCCCTGCGCCGGCGCTCCACTGCCGGGGGGCACAGAGGGGTTGGGGGGCAGCAGGGCCCTGAGACACCCCCCCCCTCCCCATACCCCATACCAGCCCCCCCTCTGGCTGGGCTGGGGGTCACTGTCCCCTGTTGTGCTGGACCCAGTCGCCAGGGGGGGGCAGAATGGGCCCGGTTGGGGTCAAATCAGCCTCTTTTAGGGTGGCCTCGAGGCTCCCCAAAGAAGGTTTTAACAAGAGCTTTGGGGTGTCTCCTTAGAGCTTTTCCATCCAGGAATCGGGAGCCGGGCTGGCTGTTCTCCCGCACCGGATCCCTCCATCCCGCACCGGACACGGGATGCTCCCCCCATCCCGCTGCCGGTACCTTCGTTGTGCTGTGCCCGGCGCTTCTCATCCCGGGTGGCTCGTGGTGCCTCCGACTTCCTGGGGGAACACCGGCGGCGTCGGTCCTGGTGATCCCGGTGAGGATCCGGCTCCATCCCAGCCCTCCCCATGCCGGCATGGGGGGATGGATCGGGGTGATCCAGCCCGCTCCGTAAGCGCCGGAGCGTCCCCCAGCCACGTGCCAGGGGATCCAGGAAGGATTCCGGGGTGGAGGGGGGGGCAGATTTGGGGGCAGATCCGGTACTCACGGGGAGTAAGGGTGGGCCCGGGGGGCGATGGACCTCTGCGGGCCCCCCTGCAGCACCTCCTGCGGCGACATCATCACAAAGAACTGCCCTGAAGGACCCAAAGGGCCACGGGGTGAGGCGAGGAGCAGCCCGAACCGGGCCACGACCCCCACCCTGGACACCCCACACCGTACCCGTAGGGGTGGGCTGCCCTAGGAGGGCCTCCGAGTTCTGCGTGGTGACGACGGCGGTGGCCGTGGTGCCCGCGCCGGCCGAGGTGCTGGTGTCGGCCACGGCCGTGGTGGGGAAGTAGGTGTAATGGGTCTCGGTGGCCGTGGCCTCCGTCTCCACCGCATCCTCGCTCGTGAAGGCGCCCTGGATGACGGCCTGCAACGGGGGAGCCGCAGCGGTGCCGCGGTGGGACAGGGCGCCGGAGACGCTCCCCGCCGCGCTCACCATCACCGGCACCCACCTGTGTCATGGACTGGGTGGCGGGGTAGCCGCTGATGGCGCTGGTGCCCTCCGTCTGCCCGTCCAGCTGCCCATCAGCCACTTGGATCACCCTATACATCACCTATGGAGAGCGTGGGGCTGCAGGGACCGGCCGGTGCCACCGGGCCCCCCCACCCCGGTGCTCCCGGTGCCGGTACCTGCGTGCCGCCGTTCTCCGTGCGAAACACATACTTGATGTTGGGGTCGGGGAAGGTGGCTGCAGACTGGATGCTGGCAATGGCGACGCTGGTGGGATCCTCCCCTGTGGCCACTGCACCTTAAGGCAAGAAGAAGGTTTAGGGAGGCACTGGCACAGGGTATCCGAGGAATGGGGATGCTCCGGCCCTGGCAGTGCTCAAGGCCAGGTTGGACACAGGGCCTTGGAGCAAGGTGCTCCGGTGGAAGGCGGCCCTGCCCGTGGCAGGGGTTGGAGCCGGAGGAGCCTTAAGGTCCCTTTATCCCAAATCATTCCATGATTCTGCCCCATGCCAGGGAAAGGGCCAAGGCCAAAGGTCCCTGTGATGCTGAGGGGCTCAGCGCTATTCCCTTCTCTAGCAGGGACAAGGACAGGGCCTGGTGTTAAACGCCTCCAGCCACTTGCTGGTGCTAAACTGGGCATGGCCAGTGCTAAACCAGGGCAGCCGCAGCCCTAAACAGCCCCCACCCCATAGCCCACAGGGGGTCCCCACTCACCTTCCTGGATCTGCACCGTTCCCTCTTCCGTCTCGGCTGCTTTCTGCTGCCTGCAAGGAGAGGAGCAACGGGTCAGGGACCCCCATACCCCATCACTGGGGATCCCCCATAGCCCATTACTAAGGACCCCATAGCCCATTGCTGGAGACCCCATAGCTCATTGCTGGGGACCCCACAGCCCATGGCTGGAGACCCCCATAGCCGATTACTGGGGACCCAATAGCCCATCGCTGGGGACCCCCATAACCCATTACTGGGGAACACATAGCTTATCGCTGGGGATCCCCCTTAACCCATTATTGAGGACCCCATAGCCCATTGCTGGGGACCCCTCATACCCCATCACTGGGGATCCCCCATAGCCCACTACTAAGAACCCCACAGCCCATCGCTGGGGACCCCCCATAACCCATTACTGGGGACCCAATAGCCCATCACTGGGGTTCCCCCCTAACCCATTAATTGAGGACCCTATAGCCCATTGCTGGGGATCCCCCTAACCCATTATTGAGGACCCCATAGCCCATCGCTGGGGATCCCCCCATACCCCATCACTGGGGATCCCCCATAGCCCATTACAAAGAACCCCACAGCCCATCACTGGGGACCCCCCATAGCCCATTATTGGGGACCCCATAACACATCACTGGGGACCCCCACAGCGCATCACTGAGGACCCCACAGCCTATCGCTGGGGATCTCCTCATAGCCCATTATTGAGGACCCCACACCCCATAGCTGGGGATCCCCCCTAACCCATTATTGAGGACCCCATAGCCCATTGCTGGGGATCCCCCCTAACCCATTATTGAGGACCCCATACCCCATAGCTGGGGATCTCCCCTAACCCATTATTGAGGACCCCATAGCCCATTGCTGGGGACCCCCATAGCCTATCATTGAGGACCCCACAGCCTATCACTGGGGATCCCCCCTAACCCATTATTGAGGACCCCATACCCCATAGCTGGGGATCCCCCCATACCCATTATTGAGGACCCCATAGCCCATCGCTAGGGATCCCCCCATAGCCCATTATTGAGGACCTCATAGCCCATCGCTGGGGATCCCCCCATACCCATTATTGAGGGCCCCACAGCCCATCGCTGGGGATCCCCCCATACCCCATCACTGGGGACCCCATAGCCCATTATTGAGCACCCCATAGCCCATCAATAGGACTCCACAGCCCATCGCTGGGGATTCCCCCTAACCCATTATTGAGAACCCCATACCCCATCACTGGGAACCCCCATAGCCCATTATTGAGCACCCCATAGCCCATCATTGAGGACCCCATACCCCATCACTGGGTACCCCCCATAGCCCATTACTGAGGACCCCATACCCCATAGCTGGGGATCCCCCCTAACCCATTATTGAGGACCCCATACCCCATCACTGGGTACCCCCCATAGCCCATTACTGAGCACCCCATAGCCCATCATTGAGGACCCCATACCCCATCACTGAGGACCCCATACGCCATCGCTGGGTACCCCACATCCCACCCCATGCACACCCCCGCCCCGGTCCCCATCTCACCCCTTCATCGCTCCGCTCCGACGGGCATCCGCGGGGCAGACGCAGAGGAGGCTCCGGCTTCACAGCCCTGCAGGGGCAGAGGGGGCTGAGCCGGGGCCGCCCCTTCACCCCCATCCTCCTCCCGCTGTCACTGGCACCCCCCGTGCCCCCGGTTCCGCCCCTCCCGCCGCGACCCCCGTTCCTTTGTCCCGGTTGTGGCGCCGGGAGCGGGGGTCCCGCACCGCGCCCCCCCCGGCTTGATCCCCGCGGCACCCCCCCGGGCCCAGCGCTCGGCTCCGGCCCTCACCGGGGCCCAAAACCGGGTGTCAGGGCCGGGGGCAGCCGTGACAGGCGCGGGGGGGCTGCGGGGAACGGTGACAGGGCCCCGGGGGGGGGCGGCGGGACCCGGGACCGGGAGCCCGGAGCGGGGGGGGGGACGCGGCCCGGCGGCAGCGCTGGGCCTCGGCTGGGCCTCGGTCCTCCCCGCGGCAGGGCCCGGCCCCGCGGCTCCGCGGGCGGCGAAGGCGGTGTCGGCCCTGCCCGGCCCTGCCCCTCCCGTCCCGTCCCGTTCCCGGCGCGGTCCCGCTCCCGGTACCGGTGCCCCCCCTCCCGTTCCCCCCCCCCTCTCCCGGTACCTGTCCGCGCCGGGCCGCCCTGCGCGCGCTCGGCCCCTTGTCTCGCCATGGAGCCCCGCACATGCGCACGGTGCCGCGGCGCCGCCATCGCAGGCCCGGGCGGAAGCGGCTCCGGTGCCCACACCCTCACTCCGCCTCCCCCCCGCTTCACGCCTCCGCCGCCGCCATCTTGGGGCCGGGCACGGCGCCATCTCAGCGCGCGCGGCCGCCATCTTAGACGGCGAAGCTTCAGCGGCTTCCACCCCCGCCGCCATCTTGAGTGAGGGCGGCGCCATCTTGGAGACGGGCACCCCCCGCTCTCCTTCAGCCCCGGGCGAACCGGGGATGCTCCCGGTGCATCCCGGCCACCACCCCCCCCCCCCCCCTTCCCCTCTCCGCTCGCCACCGGCAGCCCCACGCCGCCATGTTGTGCTGAAGGAGGCCGCAGCGGTAGACAAAGCCCAGCGCCTTTATTGCCCCGCGGCCCCGCTCTCCGCCGCTCCGGGGCCTGCCCGGTTCCCCCCCGGCTCCACGGGCACCGGAGCGGCCATTCCCGGTTCCCCGCCGCAGTACGTCTGGATCCGGCGCACCGGGGCCCGGCCCGACGGCAGCTCCGCGTCCAGGGACACGCTGGCCCGGGCCCGCCAGCCCGCCCGCCTCAACGCGGGGCCGGGGCCAAGGAGCGGCCTCTCCGGTGAGGCCGCCGCTGCCTCCTCGGCCGGGCCCGGTGGCACCGTGGCGAACTGCGGCTTGGGGGGCACGACGGGCACGGAGCGGGCCTGCAGCACCGGCGCGGCCCGCGTGGCCAAGCGCAGCACGGCCGCGGGTTCGGGAAGCACCGGCGGCTCCGGCCGGCTCGGCCCCGCGCTGCCCTCCGGCGGCGGGGATGGAGGCACCGGGGGCGGTTCCCCTTCCCCGGGCTCCCCCGGGGCGCTGGGAGCGGGGCCGGCTCCGGCCTCTTCGATGGCTTCATCCGATGCGTCCGGCCCCGGTCCCGCGCGGCCGGGGTCAGTCCTGGCACCGTCCCCGGCCCCCGGAGCATCCTCTGCGGCTCGGGTCGGTACCGGGCTCCCGGGGGGCTCCAGCGCTGGCCGCAAGGGGCTGAGGTCGTCGTGGGCGCTCAGGAACGTCTCGTCCGAGTCGGTGTCGTCGGGCGCCATGAAGAACATCTCGTCCATGCACTCCTCGATGGACAAGTAGCTGCAGGGCGGCTCCGCCGGCGGCTCCCCCGGCTGGGACCGGGAGACAGGGGCAGGGCGAGGGTGACACCAGGGACCACTTTGCATCCCTGCCCCTTCCAGCCCATCGCGTCCGGTCCGTGCCCATCCTTGTCTGCTCCATCCCATCCATGTCACTGCCATTCCATCCCTGTTCCCTCCATCCCTCTTCATGCTCATCCCTGTCCTTTCCATCCAATTCCCATTCCCTCCCTCGCATGCGTATCCCTTCCATGCCATCCCTATGCCTCCATCCTCACTGCCAATCCCATCCCTGCCCCCTCCATCCTATCCCAATCCCCTCCATCTTTACCCTGTCCCTTGCATCCCCATCCCCTCCATCCCATCACTGCCATCTGCATCCATCCTTGTCTCTTCCATCCCTACCGTGTCCATCCTATCCAATCCCCATTCTGCTCATGCTTTCACTTGTCCCATCCAATTCCCATCCCCTCCATCACACCTCTCTCCCCACTGTGTCCATCCCATCCCTGTCCCTTCCACCCCATTCCCATCCCCTCCATCACATCTCTATCCCCGCTGTGTCCATCCCATCCCTGTCCCTTCCATCCCATTCCCATCCCCTCCATCGCATCTCTATCCCCGCTGTGTCCATCCCATCCCTGTCCCTTCCATCCCATCCCCTCCATCACACCTCTCTCCCCACTGTGTCCATCCCATCCCTGTCCCTTCCACCCCATTCCCATCCCCTCCATCACATCTCTGTCCCCGCTGTGTCCATCCCATCCCTGTCCCATCCAATTCCCATCCCCTCCATCACACCTCTCTCCCCACTGTGTCCATCCCATCCCTGTCCCTTCCATCCCATTCCCATTCCCATCCCCTCCATCGCATCTCTATCCCCGCTGTGTCCATCCCATCCCTGTCCCTTCCATCCCCCCCATGCCTCCCCCATCCCATCCCAGGGGCTGTCCCTCCCCACTCCCGCCCCGTTCCCGCCCCGCTGGAGCTCACGTTCATGCACCCGCTCTCCATCCCGTCCTCGCTGGCCGCCATCCCCTCGCCCTCACCCGCCGTGCCCGGCGGCAGCTCCCGCTCCCCCTGCTCCCCATCCCCGGCACCCTCCAGCCAGGGCTCGGGGCTATCCAGGAAGGCGAAGGAATCCCGGAGCTCCATGGAGAGGCGGCTCCGGGCCGCGGGGGACGGGGACCCCGGCTCCGGAGCATCCCCGCCGGCATCCGGCTGCGGAGCGAGGGCGCCGGTGGCCGGGGCCGGGCAGGGCAGCCCCCGGTTCAGGCGGGACAGGTTGGCTGCGATGTGCAGGGGGACGGTGACGGACAAGGGCACCGAGATGTGGACCCCGGCGGCCCTCGGGGCTCGGCTGCGCCCTGCCCGGGGGGTGCTGGGCTCTGAGTGGGCGCTGCCCTCGCCCTGCGGCTGCTCCGGGGGCTCCTCTCGGTCCTCGCCCGACTCCCGGCAGCGCCCCGGCGGCACCGGGCACGCGTCGAAGCTTTCCCGGCGCTGCGGAGGCTTCCCCGGGGGCGGCTCCTCCGGACAAGGGTCCCCTGCGCCTGGGGGGCGCGGGCGGGCTCTGCGGGTGCTCGTCCACCCCATCCCATTGCATCCCGCCCCATCCCATTGCATCCCGTCCCATCCCATTGCATCCCGCCCCATCCCATCCCATCCACCCCATCCCATTGCATCCCGCCCCATCCCATTGCATCCCGTCCATGCCGTCCCGTCCCATCCACGCCATCCCATCCCATTGCATCCCGTCCCGTCCCATTGCATCCCATCCCGTCCCATCCCATCCCATCCCATTGCATCCCATCCTCATCCCATCGCATCCCATCCACCCCATCCCATTGCATCCCATCCCATACCACACCATCCCATTGCATCCCATCCCATTCTATCCCACTCCATCCCATCCCAGTCACCCTTTCCCATCCCACCCCATGTCATTGCACCGCAGGCCACCCCACCCCACCCCACCCCATCCCACCCCATCCCATCTCATCCCATCCTACCCCAACCCACTCAATTCCATCCCACCCCATCCCATCTCATCCCACCTCATCCCATCCTGTCCCATCCCATCCCTGTCACCCTTTCCCATCCCACCCCACCTCATTGCACCCCATCCCATCCCATCCTGTCCTACCCCATCCCATCCCAGTCACCCTCTCCCACCCCCCCCATCCCCACATCCCCACCCTCTCCCACCCCATCCCACCCACCCCATCCTGTCCTACCCCACCCCATCCCATCCCACCCCATCCCACTCAATTCCATCCCATCCTGTCCCATTCTATCCCACCCCACCCCATCCCAGTCACCCCCTCCCACCCCCCCCCATCCCCACACCCCCACCCTCTCCCACCCCATCCCACCCATCCCATTCTGTCCTACCCCACCCCATCCCATCCCACCCCATCCCACTCAATTCCATCCCACCTCATCCCATCCTGTCCCATTCTATCCCACCCCATCCCAGTCACCCCCTCCCACCCCCCCACCCTCTCACCATGGCTGCCGGCGGGGAGGGCGCTGAGCGAGTCCATGCTCTTGGCCGGGCGCAGGCTCCTCGCGCCGCCCTTGTCCTCTGGGGTGAGGAAGGGGAGCGGGGATGTCCCCGAGCCCCACATGTGGGGACGTGACCCCGAGCCGTGGGGTCCCCCCTCCTGGGGGCAGCGTCGGGCCCCACCTCGCTCCTCCAGCGCCTTCGCCTTGCGCTTGGCCTCGTGGCTGGAGCGGCCGAGGTGGAAAATGGATCTCCACTTCCTGGCCTTGAGGGAGCCCTTCCTCCTGCGGGAGGATGTGGGGTGCACGAGGACAGGGGGTGCATGAGGATATGGGGTGCATGAGGATGTGGGGTGCATGAGGATGTGGGGTGCATGAGGATATGGGGTGCATGAGGATATGGGGGTGCATGAGGATGTGGGGTGCATGAGGATATGGGGTGCACGAGGATATGGGGTGCACGAGGATATGGGGGGGTGCATGAGGATGTGGGGTGCATGAGGATATGGGGTGCATGAGGATATGGGGGTGCATGAGGATGTGGGGTGCATGAGGATATGGGGTGCATGAGGATATGGGGTGCATGAGGATATGGGGGTGCATGAGGATGTGGGGTGCATGAGGATATGGGGTGCATGAGGATATGGGGGTGCATGAGGATGTGGGGTGCATGAGGATATGGGGTGCATGAGGATATGGGGGTGCATGAGGATATGGGGTGCATGAGGATATGGGGTGCACGAGGATATGGGGTGCACGAGGACAGGGGGTGCATGAGGATAGGGGGTGCATGAGGATATGGGGTGCACGAGGACAGGGGGTGCACGAGGACAGGGGGTGCACGAGGATATGGGGTGCACGAGGATATGGGGTGCATGAGGATATGGGGTGCATGAGGACAGGGGGTGGGTGCACGAGGACAGGGGTGTGCACGAGGACACGGGGGGGGGTGCACAAGCACACGGGGGTGCGCACAAGGACAGGGGTGTCCCCCCCCCGGGCGCCGGCTCCCACCTGTGGTCGCTGAGCTCGATGATGGTGTGGTAGGGCCGGATCGGGGGGGGGCCATCGCCCTGGCTCAGCGCCGCCGGGACGTGGTACGGTGGCGGCGGCTGCCCCCCCCCGGCCAGCAGCAGGGACCGGCGGGGGCTCTCGGCTCCTGCTGCCATCACAATGGGGTGTTAAGGTACCCCCCAACACCGCCACCCCCTATTTGCCCCATAGGCCGTACCTCGGAGGGGAGCGTCCCCAAAGAGCTGCTCCACGTGGGTGAGGATGAACTCCACCACGATGGACTGGACGCGCACCTCCATGAACGCCGCGGTGCCGTTGAAGCCCGACGCCTCGATGTCCTTGGACCTGTCACGTCCTCGGGGGTCACCCCCCCCTTGTCCCCCCCATGCCCCGTGCCCGTGCCCTGTCCCCCCGCTCACCGCAGCAGGTTGGGGGCCCACACGATGGCCAGGTTCCTGGCGTGCATGTTGGTCCGGCTGCTGTGGGCCGCCATGCGCAGGAGGTGCCGCATCAGGAACTCCAGGGTCCTGCGGCACCGGGGGAGTCAGGGACAGCGGCACCCATGGGTGCCACCGCGTGTCCGTCCCGTCCCCCCCACACACCCATTGTGTGTGTCCCCCCCCACCTTTACCTATAGTGAGGCCCGGGCAGCTCCTTCAGCACCTCCTTGATCTTCACCAGGCGCGCTTCCTCCATCTGGATGGCCACGGCATCCTGCTGGGCACCGGGAGCGGGTGACCGAGCGCCGGCCCCCGCTGTGGAGGTGACCGAGCGGGGCGGGGACGGGGACGGGGACCGGGGACCGGTGCTCACAGCGAACTTGTGGTAGAGCTGGTAGGTGAGGAGCGGGTTGGGCAGCTCCCGGCAGTAGGCTTTGCACAGGGAGCTCACGCAGTGGATGTCCTGCAGGTAAACGTCCCTGCGCAGGTCGGGGCAGCGCTCGCTCTCGAACTCCTGCCTGCGGTGGGATGGGGATGGGAATGGGGTGGGATGGGGATAGGGTGGGATGGGAAGGGAACGGGGATAGGATGGGGAGGAGGATGGGATGGGAATGGGGTGGGATGGGAATGGGATGGGGTGGGAATGGGATGGGGATGGGGATGGGATGGGATGGGGATAGGGTGGGATGGGAAGGGAACGGGGATAGGATGGGGAGGAGGATGGGATGGGAATGGGGTGGGATGGGAATGGGATGGGGTGGGAATGGAATGGGAATGGGATGGGGATGGGGTGGGATGGGGATGTGGATGGGGTGGGATGGGAAGGGAATGGGGATAGGATGGGATGGGGATGTGGATGGGGTGGGATGGGAAGGGAATGGGGATAGGATGGGATGGGAATGGGGTGGGATGGGAATGGGATGGGGTGGGAATGGGATGGGGATAGGATTGGGATGGGGATGGGAATGGGATGGGGATAGGATTGGGATGGGGATGGGAATGGGATGGGGATAGGATGCGAATGGGATGGGATGGGATGGGATGGGGATAGGATTGTGATGGGGATGGGAATGGGGATGGAAGGGGAATGGGGATGGGATGGGGATGGGAATGGGAAGGGAATGGGATGGGGATGGGATGGGGATAGGATTGTGATGGGGATGGGGATGGAATGGGAACGGGGATGGAATGGGAATGGGATGGGGATAGGATGGCATGGGGATGGGAATGGGTTGGGAATGGAATGGGATGGGGATGGGGTGGGATGGGGATGCGGTTGCCATGGTAATAGGATGGGATGGGTTTCAGCTACTGCTGAAGCCAGGATAGATGGGAATGGGATGGGGATGAGGGGATCCCCCTCTCTGGCTGCACTGGGGCATCCCTGGGGTGTCCCAAGGGCTGTTGTGGTTGCTGGGGAGCAGACACAGCCCCGATGGGCTGGCAATGGGGAGGGTTGGTCAGACAGGGCCTTGGTGACACGGGGGGATGCTGGGAATGGGAGCACATTGGGAATGGTGGGGACTGGGGGATGCTGGGGATGGGGCATGGCAGGGGCAGGGGATGCTGGGAACACTGTGGATGCAGGGGATGCTGGGGACACTGGGAATGCAGGGGATGCTGGGGACACGTAATGCTGGGGACACGGGATGCTGGGGACATGGGATGCTGGGGACACTGGGGATGCAGGGGATGCTGGGGACACTGGGGATGCAGGGGATGCTGGGGACACTGGGGATGCAGGGGATGCTGGGGATGCAGGGGATGCTGGGGACACTGGGGATACAGAGGATGCTGGGGACACTGGGGATGCTGGGGACACTGGGGATGCAGGGGATGCTGGGGACACTGGGGATGCTGGGGACACTGGGGATGCTGGGGACACTGCGGATGCAGGGGATGCTGGGGACACTGCGGATGCAGGGGATGCTGGGGACACTGGGGTGCAGGGGATGCTGGGGACACTGGGGTGCAGGGGATGCTGGGGACACTGCGGATGCAGGGGATGCTGGGGACACTGGGGTGCAGGGGATGCTGGGGACACTGGGGCTATGGGCCGTCGGGGCCCTTGCGGGCAGGGGGGATGCGCCAGTGTGAGGAAAGGGGAAAAGTGCAACCCCTGGAGCCGATAGGGGTGGGAAGGAAACGAGAATTGAACAGGGAGGAGGAAGGAGGGGAAGGGCTGGAGCCGGGGCTGCGGGATGGGAGGGGCGAGCCACGGGGATGGAGCTGGGTTGGCTCCTGAGCTGGCCCCATCCCCATCGCCCTCCCACTGCATTCCCGCTTCCTCGTGTCTCATCCCACCAGCACCCCATGTGGTCCCGTGTCCCCATCTCCCTCCTTCCAGCTCCTGTCTCCATCCCATTCCCATCTTCCTTCTGTTTGACCCAGTCCAGTCTCCAGCTCCGTCCCGGCTCCATCTGATCTCCATCCCTTTATCTCCATCCTTTCTCCCTTATCGCCATCCCAACTGCTCCAGCTCCATCCCATCTGCTCCTGTTCCTGTCTCCATCGTCTCCATGATTTCTCCATCATCTCCATCCCATCCACCCTTGTCTCCAGCTCCATCCTTGCTGCATCATCTCCATCCCAACTGCTCCAGCTCCATCCCCTCCACTCCTGTCCCCATCCTCTCCATCCCATCTCTCCCTGTCTCCATTGTCTCCATCCCCTCCACTCTTGTCTCCATCATCTCCATCCTTTCTCCACCCGCTCCATCGCCATCCCCATCCCCTCCGGCCCCGCTCACCGCAGCCGCTGGATGTTGGAGGACACCCCGGAGAGCCGGTAGATCCCATCCACCACCCCGTGCTGCTCCACGAACTCCGTGCAGCTCCTCAGCACCTGCGGCACTGGGGGGGGGGCGAGCACCAGGCCCCATCACCCCTCAAAGCCCCCATCCCCATCCTTGGCCCACCCTGGACCACTCTGGGACCCCCGAACCTCAGAGGGGGCCCTCACCGGAAGAGCCCGATTGCGGCACCGGTGACGCAACCGCGGCGAGACCCAGCCCCGGCACCCCCGGTGCCCCCGCGCTCACCGTCCTGCCCCGAGCGCTGCAGCAGCTGCAGGAGGTCGCAGCCGAAGACCCGCTCGCGGGCACCGCCCTTGCGCCTCGCCTTGTGCCGCGACATGGCTGCGATCAACCCCTGCCCATGGCCGGCACCGGCACCGCGCCCGGGGCGCAGCGGGCGGAAGAGCCCTAGGGAGGAAGTGCCGGGGCCGGGGGAGCCGCGAGGCCTCTGCTGGCTCCGGGGCGCAGCAGGAAGGTGGCGGCCGCCCGCGAAGCGCTTCCTGCTGCCGGCACCTCCAAACCGCAGGCAACGAGCACCAGCGAGCACCGACGTTGTGAGTGCACCAATGAGCACCAGCGAGCACCAACGTTGTGAGTGCACCAATGAGCACCAGTGAGCACCGACGTTGTGAGTGCACCAATGAGCACCAGCGAGCACCAACGTTGTGAGTGCACCAGTGAGCACCAGTGAGCACCAACGTTGTGAGTGCACCAGTGAGCACCAGTGAGCACCGACGTTGTGAGTGCACCAATGAGCACCAGTGAGCACCGACGTTGTGAGTGCACCAATGAGCACCAGTGAGCACCAACGTTGCGGGTGCACCAGTGAGCACCGACGTTGTGAGGGCACCAATGAGCACCAGTGAGCACCAACGTTGTGAGTGCACCAATGAGCACCAGTGAGCACCAACGTTGTGAGGGCACCAATGAGCACCAGTGAGCACCAACGTTGTGAGGGCACCAATGAGCACCAGTGAGCACCAACGTTGTGAGTGCACCAATGAGCACCAGTGAGTACCAACGTTGTGAGTGCACCAATGAGCACCAGTGAGCACCGACGTTGTGAGTGCACCAATGAGCACCAGTGAGCACCGACGTTGTGAGTGCACCAATGAGCACCAGTGAGCACCAACGTTGCGGGTGCACCAGTGAGCACCGACGTTGTGAGGGCACCAATGAGCACCAGTGAGCACCGACGTTGTGAGTGCACCAATGAGCACCAGTGAGCACCAACGTTGCGGGTGCACCAGTGAGCACCGACGTTGTGAGGGCACCAATGAGCACCAGTGAGCACCAACGTTGTGAGGGCACCAATGAGCACCAGTGAGCACCAACGTTGTGAGTGCACCAATGAGCACCAGTGAGCACCGACGTTGTGAGTGCACCAATGAGCACCAGCGAGCACCGACGTTGTGGGTGCATCAGTGAGCACCAACGTTGCGAGGGCACGGATGAGCACCACCGTTGTGAGTGCACCAATGATCACCAGTGAGCACCAACACTGTGAGTGCACCAGTGATCACCAGCGAGCACCAACGTTGCGGGTGCACCAATGATCACCAGCAAGCACCAACGCTTGTGTGTGCATGATCACCAGCGAGCACCAACGTTGCGGGTGCACCGATGAGCACCAACGTTGTGAGTGCACCAATGAGCACCAGTGAGCACCAATGTTGTGAGTGCACCGATGATCACCAGTGAGTACCAACGTTGCGGGTGCACCAGTGAGCACCAACACTTGTGTGTGCATGAATGATCACCAGTGAGCACCAACCTTGTGAGTGCACCAATGATCACCAGCGAACACCAACGTTGAGTGCACCAATGAGCACCAATGAGCACCAACCTTGTGAGTGCACCAGTGATCACCAGCGAGCGCCAACGCTTGTGTGTGCACCAGTGTCATGTGTGCACCAACGCTCAGCGGAGAGCTGTGTGTGCACCAATGTTCACCAACGCTTGTGTGTGCACCAGTGTCATGTGTGCACCAACGCTCACCGGAGAGCTGTGTGTGCACCAATGCTCACCAGAGAGTTGCGTGTGCACCAATGTTCACCAACGCTTGTGTGTGCACCAGTGTCATGTGTGCACCAACGCTCACCGGAGAGCTGTGTGTGCACCAATGCTCACCAGAGAGTTGCGTGTGCACCAATGTTCACCAACGCTTGTGTGTGCACCAGTGTCATGTGTGCACCAACGCTCACCAGAGAGCTGTGTGTGCACCAATGTTCACCAACGCTTGTGTGTGCACCAGTGTCGTGGGTGCACCAACACTCACCAATGAGCACCAACATTGTGTGTGCACCAGCAATCATCGGCGAGCACCAACGTTGCGTGTACACCAACAATCACAAATGTTGTGTGCACCAATGCTCACCAGCGCACGCCAACGCTTGTGTTTGCACCAGCACCGGTGCTCATGCACACACACACGAACACTTGGGTGCCCTTGCCGTGGTGCTCGTGCACGCTCTGGGGCACCCGTGTGGGTTCCGTGTGCTCCTGCTCCTCGTGCACCGGGGCCATGTGCAGAGCACGCTTGTGCCATACGTGTGCACGCTTGTGCGTGCTCGTGTCATACGTGCGCATGCTTATTCATGCTTGTGCCATATGTGTGCACGCTTATTCATGCTTGTGTCATACGTGCGCACGCTTATTCATGATTGTTCCATATGTGTGCACGCTTATTTGTGCTTGTGCCATACGTGTGCACGCTTGTGCATGCTCCTGTCATATGTGCGCACGCTTATTCATGCTTGTGCTGTACGTGCGCACGCTTATGCACGCCTATGCCATACATGTGCATGCTTGTGCATGCTCCTGTCATATGTGCGCACGCTTATTCATGCTTGTGCTGTACGTGCACACGCTTATGCACGCCTATGCCACACGTGTGTACGCTTGTGCATGCTTTTGCCATACATGCGCACGCTTATGCACACCTCGGCCATACATGTGCATGCTTGTGCCATACGTCCACATGCTCGCGCATGCTTGTGCCATACGTGTGCATGCTTGTGCGTGCTTGTGCCATACGTGCGCACGCTTACGCACGCCTCTGCCATACGTGTGCTTGCTTGTACCATACGTCCACATGCTCGCACATGCTTGTGCCATACGTGCGCACACTTATGCACGCCTCTGCCATATGTGTGCATGCTTGTGCCATACGTCCACATGCTTGTGCGTGCTTGTTCCATACGTGCGCACACTTATGCATGCCTCTGTCATATATGTGCATGCTTGTGCGTGCTTGTGCCATACGTGCACACGCTTGTGCATGCTGGTGTCATACATGTGCACGCTTATTCATGCTTGTGCCATACGTGCACACGCTTGTGCACGCTTGTGCCATATGTTTGCACGCTTGTGCCACACTTGAGCATGCTTGTGCCATACATGCACATGCTTGTGCACGCTTGTGCCATGTTTGCACGCTTGTGCCACACTTGAGCGTGCTTGTGCCATACATGCACATGCTTGTGCACGCTTGTGCCATGTTTGCACGCTTGTGCCACACTTGAGCGTGCTTGTGCCATACATGCACATGCTTGTGCACGCTTGTGCCATGTTTGCACGCTTGTGCCACACTTGAGCGTGCTTGTGCCATACATGCACATGCTTGTGCACGCTTGTGCCATGTTTGCACGCTTGTGCCACACTTGAGCGTGCTTGTGCCATACGTGCACATGCTTGTGCACGCTTGTGCCATGTTTGCACGCTTGTGCCACACTTGAGCGTGCTTGTGCCATACGTGCACATGCTTGTGCACGCTTGTGCCATATGTTTGCACGCTTGTGCCACACTTGAGCGTGCTTGTGCCATACATTCACATGCTTGTGCACGCTTGTGCCATGTTTGCACGCTTGTGCCACACTTGAGCGTGCTTGTGCCATACATGCCCATGCTTGTGCACACTGGTGCCATGTTTGCACGCTTGTGCCACACTTGAGCGTGCTTGTGCCATACGTGCACACGCTCGTGCACGCTCACACGTGCTCGCGTGCCCATCCTCGCACACGCGTCGGACACGGGGTCCCAAGGCCCGCAGGGGTTTATTTACAAGCGGGGCCGCAGCAGCGGGGGGGGGCCCCGTCCTATACAGGGTCTGTACACGGGGACACGCGTCCCGGGGACCCCCATCACCAGCCCCACGCATGGGGGGCCCCAGCGGGGGCTGCCAAGGGGGGTTCTGTGGGGTGGGGGGGGGGGGGGAGTGGGGGTGTGCGTTGGGGGGTCCGGGTTTTTGAGGGGGGGGAAGGGGAGAGGGGACGGAAGCCCCCCAAGTGCCGCCTGCAAAGCAGGAACCGGCCCAGAGTCCGATGGGGGGCTTGGGGGGGGGGGGGGGGTTGTTGGGGGGCTCCTGCCCCTGTCCTTGGGGTGTCCCCACACCCGGGGGGGGGGGGGGGGGGGGGGTTGTCCGGTGCCGCCGTCACCTCCTCGCCCCCCGGCGCTGTGCCCGCAGGCAGGGGGTGCGCACGGAGCGTGTCCCTCACCCTGTGCCCCATGGCGGGGGGGTGTCCGTCCCCCCGTCCCCCCCCCCCAACAACCTCCATGGGCAGCGGCTCACACGAGGTGCCCGCGGCCGTTGATGTAGATGCCGTTGGTGGTGGGCTTGGCTTGGAGCATGCCGTTCTCCTGCACGAAGTGGGTCATGGCTTGCTTGATGGGGTCGTCGCCGCCGGGGCCGCCGCCGCCTTCCTCCTCCTCGTCCTTGGGCTCCTTCCCCGCCGGCGCCGCAGGGACCTCGGTCTGCGTTTCGATCTCCCGCACGGTCGAGAGCGTGGAGTAACTGCGGCCCTCGGGCTCCTCGCTCTGCGCGTGGGGACGGGACGGGGGTCACACGCGTGGACCCCAAAGTCCCGTGTGTCCCCCCCCCCCATGGACCCCGGTGCTCACCATGGCCGAGCAGATGCTGGTGCCGCGCAGGCTGTCCCCCCGCAGGCTGCCCTGGCGGCTCTCTGCCCGCAGCTGCAGCGTCTCCTCCAGCTGCAAGGGCCCCGTTAGACCCAAGCACCCCATGGACCGGCCCCACGGACACCCCATGGAGCAGCCCCATTGACACCCCATGGAGCAGCCCCATTGATACCCCATGGACCGGCCCCACGGACACCCCATGGAGCAGCCACATTGATACCCCATGGAGCAGCCGCATTGATAACCCATGGAGCAGCCCCACGGACACCCCATGGAGCAGCCACATTGATACCCCATGGAGCAGCCGCATTGATACCCCATGGAGCAGCCCCATTGACACCCCATGGAGCAGCCCCATTGACACCCCATGGAGCAGCCCCATTGACACCCCATGGACCGGCCCCACGGACACCCCATGGAGCAGCCCCATTGACACCCCATGGAGCAGCCCCATTGATACCCCATGGACCAGCCCCACGGACACCCCATGGAGCAGCCGCATTGATACCCCATGGAGCAGCCCCATTGACACCCCATGGAGCAGCCCCATTGACACCCCATGGAGCAGCCCCATTGAAACCCCATGGACCGGCCCCACGGACACCCCATGGAGCAGCCCCATTGACACCCCATGGAGCAGCCCCATTGAAACCCCATGGACCGGCCCCACGGACACCCCATGGAGCAGCCCCATTGACACCCCATGGAGCAGCCCCATTGATACCCCATGGAGCAGCCCCATTGATACCCCATGGACCAGCCCCACGGACACCCCATGGACCAGCCCCATTGATACCCCATGGAGCAGCCCCATTGACACCCCATGGACCGGCCCCACGGACACCCCATGGACCGGCCCCACGGACACCCCATGGAGCAGCCCCATGGAGCAGCCCCATTGACACCCCATGGAGCAGCCGCATTGAAACCCCATGGACCGGGCCCACGGACACCCCATGGAGCAGCCCCATTGACACCCCATGGAGCAGCCGCATTGATACCCCATGGAGCAGCCCCATTGACACCCCATGGAGCAGCCCCATTGACACCCCATGGACCGGCCCCACGGACACCCCATGGAGCAGCCCCATGGAGCAGCCCCATTGACACCCCATGGACCGGCCCCACGGACACCCCATGGAGCAGCCCTATGGAGCAGCCCCATTGACACCCCATGGAGCAGCCGCATTGAAACCCCATGGACCGGCCCCACGGACACCGCATGGAGCAGCCCCATTGATACCCCATGGAGCAGCCGCATTGACACCCCATGGAGCAGCCCCATTGACACCCCATGGAGCAGCCCCATTGACACCCCATGGAGCAGCCTCATTGACACCCCATGGACGGGTCGCATGGACACCCCATGGAGCAGCCCCATTGATACCCCATGGAGCAGCCCCATTGATACCCCATGGACTGGCCCCATGGAGCAGCCCCGTTGGCACCCCATGGACTGGCCCCATGGAAACCCATGGAGCAGCCCCATTGACACCCCATGGAGCAGCCCCATTGACACCCCACTGAGCAACCCCATTGACACCCCATGGAGCAGCCCCATTGACACCCCATTGACCAGCCCCATGAGCACCCCATGGAGCAGCCCCATTGACACCCCATGGAACAGCCCCATTGACACCCCATGGACCGGCTCCATGGACTGACCCCACTGGCACCCCATGGACCTGCCCCAAGGACACCCCATTAAGCAGCCCCATTGACACCCCATGGATCGGCCTCATGGACACCCCATGGACTGGTCCCACAGACAACCCATGGACCAGCCTCAAGGACACCCCATGGACTGGCCCCAAAGACATCCCATGGGCACCCCACTCCCTGCTTCTCCTCCTTCAACACCCCTAAACCCAGTCCCCTGGATCCCCCAGCACCCTTTGCCACAGTGATCCCATCACCCAGAGCACCCTTGGGCACCCATCCCATCCATCATCCCCAAACCCCATCACCCAAAGTGCCCCCAGCCTCAACTCCTTGGGTCCCCCACCCATGACCCACAGCACCCCCCCCCCCCCCCCAAGCCCCCCCTGCATCACCTGGGTGCGGGTGTCCGTGCTGTGGCTCGAGTGCAGGCGGCGGATGGAGTTCTCCCGGGTGAGGGTCAGCTCCTCCTCACTGGGGACATGGGGGGGGATGCTCAGCACCAGCCCCCTGTGTCCCCCCCCCGTCGCCCCATTTCCCCCCACATTCAACCCCAGCTCTTACTACTTCTCGGAGATGCGCTTGGTCTTGCGCTTGTGGTAGAGGGTCATGACGACGACGACGACGACGAGGACGCAGAGCAGGACGGCGGCGATGACGCCCACCACCACCACCGAGGCCGAGACCAGGTCCACCTTCCGCACCTCATCGTCTGCGGGACACCGGCGGTGGGGAGGAGATGGGAGGTGAATGAAGAGAAGGGGATATCCATGGGTGGATGAGTCCATGGATGGATGGATGGATGATGGATGGATGGATGGATGGATGGATGGATGGATGGATGGATGATGGATGGATGATGGAAGATGGATGGATGATGGATGGATGATGGATGATGGATGGATGATGGATGGATGGATGATGGATGGATGGATGGATGGATGATGGATGGATGATGGATGGATGGATGATGGATGGATGGAGGATGGATGGATGGATGGATGATGGATGGATGATGGAAGATGGATGGATGATGGATGGATGATGGATGATGGATGGATGATGGATGGATGATGGATGATGGATGGATGATGGATGGATGGATGATGGAAGATGGATGGATGATGGATGGATGATGGATGATGGATGGATGATGGATGGATGATGGATGATGGATGGATGATGGATGGATGGATGATGGATGGATGGATGGATGGATGATGGATGGATGATGGATGGATGGATGATGGATGGATGGAGGATGGATGGATGGATGGATGATGGATGGATGATGGAAGATGGATGGATGATGGATGGATGATGGATGATGGATGGATGATGGATGGATGATGGATGATGGATGGATGGATGGATGGATGGATGGATGGATGGATGGATGATGGATGGATGGATGATGAATGATGGATGATGGATGATGGATGGATGGATGATGGATGGATGGATGGATGGATGGATGATGGATGGATGGATGATGAATGATGGATGATGGATGATGGATGGATGGATGATGGATGGATGGATGGATGGATGGATGGATGGATGGATGGGTGGATGGATGGATGGATGATGGATGGATGGATGATGGATGGATGGATGGATGGATGGATGGGTGGATGGATGGATGGATGATGGATGGATGGATGGATGGATGGATGGGTGGATGGATG